AAAATACTAGCCTCGATAATTTTCGGACGCATAACTAAGACTCGTGAACTGCAAACACGAGAAAATCAGGCTGGCTTCAGACCTGCTCGTGGATGTATAGACCACATATTCACCATTCGTCAGGTTCTAGAACACAGGCATACTTATCGGCGTCCGACAATAGTGGTCTTCCTTGATTTAAAAGCAGCGTTTGACTCTGTTGACCTAGAGGTCCTGTGGCAGTGTCTGTCATTGAAGGGCGTACCTCAGAAGTACATAAACCTTGTGAAGGCTCTTTACTCGAACACTACTTGTCGAGTCAGAGCTTATGGCGAACTTTCATCTGCTTTTGCAATCTCAAGTGGTGACCGTAAAGGCTGTCCACTTTCATCATAGATCTACTGATGGAAATAACGCTCTCATCGACCGAATTCTCGGGCATTGATTTCCTACCAGGAGGTCCACTTATTGACTTAGAATACGCAGATGACAGTCCTGTTTGGTGAAGACGCTGATGAAATGCAGAGTCTTTTGATAGTGCTGAGCAACAATGGTGAATAAAGAGAAACCGGATGTTATTGCTGTCTCAGAAACTTGGTTAACTCCGGAAATATTAGATAATGAAATTCACTTAGCTGGTTTTTTATCCAGTGGGGCTGATAGATTAAATCGCAGGGGAGGCGGGGTTATCCTGTACACGAAAAGTACCCTAACTATAAGAGTAGCTGAGACAGTGGCACATGTTTCAGGAACATGTGAATTGGTGCGATGTAGGCTGAAATGTAGACGGCAAGACATTGAATTAGTTGTAGTATATCGCAGTCCGGAATGCGTGGTAGATGATTTTCTCCTAAGTAAACTTAAGTCCTGGTGTAACAAGGGTAAAAGCCTTGTAGTAGGCGACTTTAACGCACCGTATATAAACTGGGTAAACTTAGAAGTCGGGTCATCGATAACGTCATTCGATTTCAAACCGTTAGAAACATCGATTGCATTAACTTTGTTCCAACATATTGGAACTCCCACAAGATATGCCTTAAGAAACTCCTCTCTTTTGGATTTAGTTTTCACACACGGTGATGACGTTGGTCAAATGAATTTCCTCCCACCGCTAGGGAAAAGTGACCATGCAGTCATCTTATTCAAATTCGTGGCTGAGATTGCCTGTCAAACAGTTGCGCCGGCGCGTCCTAACATATGGAAGGCAGATATGGAGGCCATCAACTCCGCAGCATCGGCTGAAAACTGGGAAACTGACTCAAGAGCATCAGTACAAGAGGCATGGACGCATTTCAGGCAGTTATACAACCGGGTAACTCAACCATACATACCATGGACAGTCCCAAAGAAGAAGAAACACGGACATCCCTGGATAGGCAGGGATATTCGACGTTTACTAAGACAAAAGAAGAATTGTTGGGATGTCGTCATCCGCCTTGGCACAGCAGGTACGATGGAACACTACAGATCGGTAAGAAACAAGTGTATGACAAAAATTCGAGAAGCTCAAAGAAAATATGAAATGCAGTTGGCACAATCAGCATTCAAGCAGCCCAAGAGAATATTCTCGTACATAAACTACAGAACAAGGATGCATCATTGGATTCCAAGTCTAATTAAAGAAGGGAGTGAATCTGAAATGATAGAGGAAGATCAGGACAAAGCAGAGGCTATGGCTGACTACTTTGGGACAGTTTTCACTCAGGAACCTCCTTTGCACAAAAAACCACACCAAAATAAAGAGTCAATAAACCACCTGCTCACCGTAGACTTTGACCAAGACAAACAGATAAATTAGTGTTTCCGTCTACTAACCTCCGTTTGCGCGTATCGATAATTAAGTTGTGGTGTTGTAGAAGGTCCATACCAATGATTGGCTTAGAAACATCTGCAACAACAAAGATCCAGTGAATGGATTTGCGTAAACCCACGTTAAGATAAACATACCTTTGGCCATACGTAGCGATAGGCTTTCCGTCTGCCGTCTGTAGATTTAAAACAGGCTCGTGTAGTCTGTCGTCGGAATTCGCTGGGAGAACGCTAGCTTCTGCGCCAGTATCGACGAGGTAGCGAACTCTCGTTATCACATCTGTGACATATAATAGACGGCTATGTTCGCCGGCTACGGTCGCCGTTAACGCGCGCCGGCTTGGAAGTTTCCCGAAACATTCTTTGCGTCGACGGATTTCGCGTTGAGAAAATTGCAGGGTTTTCTGCAAATTCTGGCAGACTTTCCGTACTGGTTATGATACCAGAACCAGTCAGGATTATCCGTCTCCCGAGGTCTAGAGACCGACCGCTTACGGTCGTTACTGAGTTTGAGATAACGAGTAAGTGTATGACATAACTGTGTTATGTCATTTTGGGTCGTTTGAGGCTTTTCTTTGACTGAAAAAACCTCGGCTTTAGAAGATCTAGTGATTTCGAGAATGCGGTCGGCAGATGCAGCCAGCTCGTCTACGGCGTTGTTTTGGAACGAGACCAGCACAGCTTGCATCTGTTGAGGAAGTTTTGATGAGAAAAGTTGTTTGAATAGGCCGTCATCGAAGGTTCTTTGGCCAATAACTTCTCGCATTCTTTGCAACATGTCTGTGGCAGAACCGTGTTTCAGGTCGATGTTGTTGAGGAGTTGGTCTAACCTTTGTCGATCCGTTAGATCTCCGCGTTTAAGGATGGCATGTTTTAACGCTTGGTATGGGTCAGAAACATCACTAGTAAACATACTAGGTGTTACGTACCTGTTAAATTCGCGCGGTAATGCCTTGAATACTGCGAGGAATTGTGCACGTGTATCGTTTACACCGTGCTCGTAGATGTCGGCTTCTGCGTAGCAAAACCAGGCTTCGATGTTTTCTGGCCAGAAAGGCATAAGTTGGAAAGAGGGTGGGGACACAGTCTTTAACTTAAATACTTTAGGGGTCTGTTCAGTCATAGTAATATATCAAGTACGAAAAGTGAACGATTGGGAAATATATATATAAACCCAAAAACACGGAAAAAATATCACAATGTTAAAAAGAAATTAAAATAAGACAATGATATATAAAATCACAAAACGGAACAGACTCACAGTTTACAATATGGTGTACAAGATCACGTCGGGCTCACCAATGAAGATGTCACAGGTATTCGGAGTTTTACAACGCTTTAACCAGTAACACCTTCTAATACGAAGCGCACCCACCAAGTAAAATCAAAAGACAGAAGTGAGGAGATCGAAGATATATTTGATAAGCTATCAATATATCGAGGATCGTTTGAACTAATCTGGCTAGCGATTACGGCAGATGTTGAGCACGGCGTTCCCACACGTGATATGGTGCGGATGCTTGACCGAGCGCCTTCAGCTAGATGAGTCCACTAAAACTGTGGTCAGCATCAAATGTCGAAAACTTACAGAGCTATTTTATTTTTGGGGAATTATTTACCGCTACAAAACTATTCTCCTCATGTTACAGTCTAATTACCATTAAGTAAAACCGACTGGCCGATGAATTATTTACCGCTACAATATGATACCATACGTAGTCACTCGTGTTGATAAGTATACTTAATTTCGAGTTCCCTACTAGTACCTCTAGTGCTTAAGTTCTGATGATGATTACATATCCGAAAACCAACCAGTGACACTAATGGGTATCTCTTATTCCAGGTACTATATACTTTAGCAACTGATGAAGCAGAACGTATTGGTGTCGATTATGTTGCACGTATTTCAATGTCATCTACTGATCAGACTTCATCAATGGTAAATTCCTTCTATTTCTTTGAAATGTAATGATTTATCAATCTCTAATCACTTATATCACCTAAAACACACACTGAAATTAATATACTAAAACAATGATGGTGGAAACCGAAAGGTACAACCAGAAGAAATCTTTCAGTTAAGGAAGTTACAACCACTTTTTATGAAGAAAGTAGAAGAAGATTACATCAGGATCGCCACTGGCTTCTATTCTGAGCCATATATGATAACGTCTCTAGCCACTGTGTTACACCGTCTCTCGGACTCCAACCAGGGAGTCGTGAAGGACCAACAGAAGCTAGCCCTTTGCAGCTTTCTTTCATACCACGACATCATGTCATATACTGACCACCTTTCCGCTTTTTCCAACCAGTCCCAGAGTCGGCAAATAATGCACGACGTGGAATTCTCTGGGACGACATTCGTAAAACATGTCCAAGCCACCGAAGTCGGTGTTTCAAGATGGTGACACCAATTGCATTATCGTCTCTGTGCCCGAACACACGATGCCGAACCTCAGCATTACTGACATGGTGTTGCCACTGGATGTCAGCAATCCTTCGGAGACAACGATGATCAAACACAGATAGTCGTCTAACATCCTCAACTCGGAGAGGCCAGGTTTCACAAGCATAGAGCAAAACTGCTCTCACCGACGCGTTGTAGATCCGACCTTTTACAGCCAGACTAACATCACGAAGGCGCCAAAGATGGCCCAGATTGGCATAAGCCGCTCTGGCTTTCACTATACGTGCATTGATCTCATCACTCACACCACCACCAGCACTTATGCAGCTACATAGATACACGAACTTCTCGACTACTTCTATCTGCTCACCATTCAGAGTGAGTATAGAATTGGAATCCTGCCAGTCTTGTAGAAGTACTTTGCACTTAGAAGGTGCAAAGCACATACCATACTTACGAACATCGATTGCCAACTGATTAAGTACGGATTGCATGGATATGTTATCTAAATCTCAGCTGTTCAAAAATCCCCATAGGATATTGAAAAATGCAGAATATTTGAGCGAACAATTGTTTTCGATAACTTCATCATCAGGTTCTACAGTTATAAACATAAATAGATGTTTATAGTACATTTCAACAGAAGTTTTCCCAAATACACCGGTACTTACACAACAAATCAAGGATAGGTTACCGGTGATGAGCTTCTCCCTGTGTGTATGCCACTTCAACTGCTCCAGTGAAGGCTATTTACATGGGCCGTAATCAGAGGGCTTTATCCTTACATGTTCGTGAACATCTATCAACATGGTTGGGAAAAGGAGTTGCTAAATCGATCAACAGTACTGTTCTTTCTCACTCGGTAGATAGCAAACATCATATCAAAGTAGAGGAAGCTTTTTATGTTTTATATCAAGTTTCGAAAAAGTCTACTTCAAGGAGCTAGATTACAGCTACTCTACATAGCCGAAGCCATCTGGATCAACTCCAGAAAACCGAACTTATGTATCCAGAAAGGTATATCCAGCCTTTATGTTCACTTTGACCTACTACTGGATCACCGGATACCTAAACTGAATATTATAAACCTCTTGCCCGCTTCTCATTTTTTTATCACATCTATTTTGATCTTCATATCCGTCTTTCCCAATTCACATGAACCCTTTTTTATCGTAATCACCTTAATAACGCCCCTCTTATTACTTATTATATTCACACAGTGATATTATTATTATTACGATTGCTATTATCATTATTACCTCAATTAACAAGATGAAATTCCTATACTGTGCATTTCATTCACACGGTTCTTTTCATTTTCACTTTGCTATATTACTGTTATACTGATTGGGACGTCATACTGCTCTAAATCATTCTGACCTTTAAATATATATATAATTTCCGAAACAATTTATGGTATAAGTTTAGAGGGCTTTGTTGATGTAAAAGCTTTATGTATTCTTATTGAAAACCTCCAGGTCGTTTGGATCTTTATGTTTTTATTAAATGTCATTCGGTATTTCATTTAGACACTTATATCGATGGACCCATAGGGCATAACGTTTGGTTGTCCCTCTAATGCGTCAGTATCCAGCCTCTGGGTTTTATTGAACTTATTTAAAGGATCTTTTGTCAGAATATTGACTAATCTCTGTGTTTTAGTGTGGTGACGTGTAGTCATAAAATTTTGGTTTAATGACTCTGTTTAAACCGTTGTTCATCGATTACTAGTGTATCTGTGTTTTTATTGTAGACTGCTGAACATTTACTAGGAAATTATCAGGCCATTCAAATGTTAAGCAGTCGCCTTCAGCTAATTAGATCTTATGTCGCAGCTGTTGCAGCAGGAGAATTACCACCGAATAGAGCACGACTGAGAGAGATCAATGCTTTGGTTAAACGAATCCCTTTCATGCCTTCTTCAGCAGCCGAACAAAATGACAATTTGTACCGTCAAGCCAATGATGTGTGTCTGACAGCATTGCTTGCCAGCATAACTCAAGGCTTACATACACTCTACGGTTGTATGGTCAAAACATCTCACGTTATAGATCGCCGATCTATTCCTTTGAGTGTGGGAAGTGGAATTATGGACTCAGGTTCCAGTCGTTTTGCCAAAGTTTCCCACTCAATTGGTAATTCTAGTTGAGAAGGCAAAATGTGTATTCTGTGAATAAAGTCAGCTTACGTTATATAAACCGAGAATAGATTTCTGTAGTTGTACATATGGACGTCACAATTTTTTTCGATTCACAGTACTCAAGAAACATTTGGATAAAATCATATATTTGATTGTACGTTGGCTTGTATATAATCATATACTGTACTGTGGTAACTTGGACGGCTCTATAGCCTTTTTGTTTTTGATTCTGATACATCATCTTTGTCACAGCAGAAGTTCATCGTCAGTTCACTATTTTATCCATAAATAATGATGATGAGAACCATAAAATGTAAATGTAGCTAGAATTTAATTCCATGTCCTAGTGGCTGAAAGTTAAGGGCTGATAATGGTCTCCAAATATTAGAGTTTGGTCATTTATTCGCATATCAGTTTGTTGTTATTGCTATTATTAGTTTGAGATGGCTTCCGACGTATTTTCAGAAAGACTGGGTAATACTATGCTCATCATAGTGTTAACCATGAAATAAACCTTTTCACTTAGATTCAAATTCACTTCTGTAACAAACAACTTTCTTCAAGTGTTTGATTCTCACTAATGGATAAACTAAGTAATCAACAAATATAAATAACTTGTATATAACACTGATATTTGATGCTGTTGGTTCATTTTTACTTTGGAGGTACCCAAGATAACTATCGTTTCACAATCTGAAATATATAGTACATTCCAGGATTTTGAATTATCTACTGACATAAATAACGCTCTCATCGACTGAATTCTCCGGCATTGATCTCCTACCAGGATGACCACTTATTGACTTGGAACGCGCAGATGACAAAGTCCTGTTTGTTGAAAAGGCTGATGAAATGCAGAGTCTTTTGGAAGCACTGAGCAACAAAGCAAGAATGTTTGGGATGCGCTTCTCTCCCTCCAAATGCAAGTTGTTGCTTCAGGACTGGTCTGCGTCAACACCTGAACTAAGGATAGGGAGTGAAGTAGTCGAACGCATTGACAACTTCACTTATCTTGGAAGTCTGATCAGCCCTAATGGGTTGGTGTCTGACGAAATCTCAGCACGGATTCGAAAAGCTCGTTTGGCCTTTGCCAACTTACGTCATCTATGGCGAAGGCGAGATATTTGTCTATCAATTAAGGGACGAGTATACTGCGCGGCAGTTCGTTCCGTCCTTCTATACGGCTGCGAAACATGGCCTTTAAGAGTAGAAGATACTCGTAAGTTACTAGTATTTGACCACAGATGCCTTAGAAATATTGCTGGTAGCTGCTGGGATCACCTGGTAAGTAATAGTGAGGTTAGACGCAGAGTATTAGGGAATGATGGTAAATCAGTTGATGAGGTTATGAATCTTCATCGACTGAGATGGTTGGGCCACGTGCTGCGTATGCCTGAACACCGATTACCACGACGCGCAATGCTCACTGGTGTTAGGGATAATTGGAAGAAAATTAGGGGCGGCCAAACCAAAACGTGGCATCAGTGCTTGAAGTCACTAACTTCTGGTCTGAGCCATGTTGGTAGATGCAGACTGCCTGGTTGGGGTCCGCGTGACTATCGTAACCAATGGTTGGAGACTCTTGGTGACATGGCTCAGAATCGATCACAATGGCGTCGGTGTATACACTCTCTGTCTTCCTTAAATTAAGAGATTAAAATCGCTTCATATCTGTCTAGGAACTAATTCTTTCTTCCTTTACTATCTCCTTATACACAATCTTTCTTCTATATATTACCACCACTGAATTAACTACTCCTATGAATCCGGTGTTCATCTTGTTGTGCTAATGCGGTATGGCAACTTGGGCCGATGCATATGTGTGTCTGGTCCTACGTTGCATCTGACTGACTGACGTCGCCACACTACTCTAGTACATCGCCACAAAACGTTCCAGGCAGATCCCGAAGTAGTACGTTATCAGTAGTAGTAGGAAACATGTGATTTCGGAACTCAAAATATGAAAAAAGACAGGAAATACTTCTGTAACAATGTGATCGATTAAGAGCCTTGTCATTTAACGTCTCCAAGCACGTTACGATGGTCGTGTGGACCACAATTACGTGTTCTACTTACATGGCTCAGTCCAATTTTCAATGACTTCATAGTGTTATCACCTGAGAACACTAACTAATATCACGTTTTATATTGCTCAATCAGAATTTGGACTACGATTTCCTCGATCAAGATTCTACTACTGCATTCATAGCTTACCATCCCATACTCGACCAACTGAACTGACCTGCGCTGTCAAATTCTAGCCGACGAAAGATAAACTCCCGTTCTCCCGCTGTACTCAAGCTTTTCTGTATTTCTTATCTTGATTCCTTGAGAAAAGTTAGCAGCCAGTTTTTATTATTATCAGTTCATTCACGAATCAAAAATAATGGAATGATGTGGAGTAAAATCTTGACGATATATCAACATAATTAAGAAATTACAATATCGGTACAACTATACCGTCGGTAAGGAACAAGTGAGCAATAGGTTTGTGATAAATTAACAGTAAATTAGGAGATACAATATATAATAACAGTTTATGCATCATAAAAAAGGTTACAAGCAAGAGAATACAACCATTTGAGCATTTAACAGTCAAAAAATACAGAACAGTTCAGAAAGTTTAACCTTCCTAGTAATCGCTCGATTATAACATAGATTTGTGCAGCATTTAGACTTGGCCATCCTTAAACTTTTTCCAATTTGCCCCTACACCTGTTGAGCTGAAAGTGGCTGGCCATGCATAATGCACTGTAGCGGTAAATAAATCCCCAATATAAATAGCTCTGTAAGTTTGCGACATTGCATGCTGACCACAGTTTTAGTGGACTCATCTAGCTGAAGGCGCTCGGTCAAGCATCCGCACCATATCACGTGTGGGAACGCCGTGCTCAACATCTGCCGTAATCGCTAGCCAGATTAGTTCAAACGATCCTCGATATATTGATAGATTATCAAATATATCTTTGGACCTACTCGCTTCTGTCTTTTGATTTTACTTGGTAGGTGCGCTTCATATTGGAGGGTGTTACTGGTTAGAGCGTCGTCAAACTCCGAATACTTGTGGCATCTTCAGCACATACCAACTATCTGTCGAGAATGACTCACCGTCACATCAATCGGTTCGCTACGATATGTCTAACGTGAACATTACTCGGTCAATCATTTCAACATATATGAGCGGTACTTTGAAACAAGCTATGAATGAATACTAGTGTCCTATGAATGTCAGTCAGCTACAACGTAGGACCAGGCACATATACGCATCGGTTCAAGTTGCTACACCTGATTAGCGCAACAAGATGAACACTTAATTTATAGCAGCTATTTCAATGATAGTAATATATAAAAGAAAGATTGTGTATAAGGATGTAATCAGTCAGTCACCAACAACGCAGAACTTCGTACGTACGAAAATCAGCTCAAGTTGCCATACCACATTAACATGGAGACACAATAATCGATTCAAATCCCATCGTGGTAGAGGTTGTAAGAGTATAAGCAGTAATCGGAAAGGTTGGAGTTTGAATATGTTATTCAAAGAAGACAATCCAATAACATAAATTTGGAAAGAGAAAAAGGATATGAAGAAATAATTAGTCCATCAAAAGTAAGGTGAAAAGCAATTTTAATCTGCCGATTTAAGAGAAGACAAAGAGTGTATACACCTACAACATTGTGATCGCTTCTTAGCCATATCACTCAGAATCTCCAACCATTGGTTACGATAGTAGCTTATGAGTATCTTTTACTCTTGATGGACACATTTGGCAGCAGTAAATTAGAAAACCAATTGCTGTGCAGTACACTTGTCCCTTAATGGGTAGACGAATATCTCTCGCCATAAGTGGCGTAAGTTAGCAAAAGCCAAATAAGCTTTTTGAATCCGCTCAGAAATTTCGTTAGACAGCAGCCCATTAGGGATGACCAGACTTCCAAGATAAGTGAAGATGTCAACGCGTTCGACTACGTCACTCCCTATCTTTAGTTCAGGTGTTGACGCAGACCAGTCCTGAAGTAACAACTTGCATTTAGAGGGGGAAACGAATACCAAACGTCTTGGGATTGTTGCTCAATGTCGTCTATTCTTGTTGGATATCTTTCACAACTATGAAGTAGAACATAGTGAACTGTCGAGTAGTAAACTTATCCTTCACTCGGTAGATGGACATTAAATCCACGCCACAAGTGATAGATTGGGAAATGCACTTGCGATTTTGTCAAGCACCGACTCATCAGAGCTGATGTGACTTTCAAGGTTAATAAAGTGGTCGACACACTCAACTATTTCACTTACTGTCATTAGTTCAGAAGCTGATTCACACCAGACTTGAAGCGACGTTTTGCATTTGTGGTACGTTTAGCCGGGTAATAGCTACTCACAAGGCTGAATTGACGATGCATCGCCAACCCAAATTAAAGTCTGTTTGAAAGGTCTCTCACACTTCAATCAACTAAGCGATTCCCCTTCCTATCAGAATTAAATCTACGAATACTGGATAATAACAGAACCACACGTGAATAGCGTCAATTTAGAGCACAACAGCCTCAAGCTCGACTGCAGAAAATGGTTAAATGAGTAAGCGGTAACTTAATAAATGTAGATTTCATTTTGGGCATAAATTAAAAGTACTGTGGAGGTAAAATAGCTTCAATCTAAACAGTTTATTTTGATTACATATATATATGGTATTGGCAATACTTGTCATTTTAATACTTTCCGTCATCAAAGTCGAATATTTCACATCATACCTTAATACCAACTTTTACTACATATATGGTTGTAAGCAGCTGATGTTAAACCACAAAATATAATGAATTCATATTCTGCCTCAATCGTTGTTTTAGATTTATTCAAACCAATGAAGAGCATTAGGGCTGACAAGCGGAAATATGTAGGAGACCTGAGAACGACAGCAGAAAAAGTTGCAAAAGAAGGATTTATGTAAGAACTACATTATACCATTAAAGAGCCAGTGTGGAAGGAAAAGCAGCACACAGACTTCCCT